CCTAAAATCAATTTGAATGTTGTTAAGAACTACTTATGTTTAGATTACCATCCGTTGAGTGTTACGTTGACCAAAACATGATTCAACTTGACTATACTCCATCACAGTTCATCCATGAGCAGTACGAACTTTGAGTACAATATAGATTCGGGGATCAAAATGGATCATAGATTCTCATTGTAACACGTGATTTGATGTATTTGTGGGTATCGGATGAAGCTTACGCTCAGCGATAGAGGGTGTCATGCAATATCATTTGTCAATGGGATATAGTTATCTTCGATGAGCTTCATGATGTGTTATACTTTAATTTTTCGAAGAATAGTCAGCAAACTATTTATTATTCTTTAAAAGGGATATGTCGTATAGAGACCATCTCACTGATCAATAGGTGAAGTATGTTGATCGCGCTCCTCCCTCTTCTTTCTTCCAAATCTCTTTAACAAGAAATTCACTTTCTTGCCATAAGATTGTGACTTACTGAACTCGGAGACATGAGATCACACTTACAAACCAATATCAAGAGAAGAATTGAAAAAACAAGAAATGTTATCAAAGTGATGATGATTATTCGTTCTGTGTGTGGAAGTTGGACACTTTCTATAGTAATGTAGAAGCAGTAACTGAAAAACTACAAACCAATCTTCTCGAAAACAGTGGTATTAGTAGCTTGAATCAGGGCAACGTCATAATTACAATTAGCATGATTACAGCAACAGAAGTGAGAAGTATTGATAGATGAGTTTTGCACTGCTGTAGTGTAACACTGAAATAAACCTCTTTTTTCCTTTCAACTTTTTCAACGAACAACACTCCGTTCACATGAATGTTCTTTCTCCACGGAATAGGTATGACAACCCTGTTTCACAATAGATAATGTAGAATTCTGAAGAAAAATAAGTTGCTCACTGGTTTTTGTTTGATTTTGGATACAATTCCATTAACTATTCTATTATATATTGCAAAGCAACCTGTTACAAGATTACTTCCACCCAGACGAGTGACCGGACATGACATGACAAACGGCTTCAAAGGATAAGCAGCATCAGACACCTTAGACAATTCAGAAAAGTTATTGGCTGCAAACTTACAATGCATTCGATGTACTTGATAAACATATTGATCCGATGAACTACTGAAATAAACGTTTTTTTTAAAAATTACAATTTGTGAAGATGATAGAAGGCAAGTTGGTTTTATACTCAGAATGATTCATACCTTACATCATCGCTGAGTGACGCAGGAGAAAAAAAATAAAAAAAACGGGAGGAACTGTTACTCATTCATTCACAATTGAAATCATTTTATGTTCAATTGAATTATACTATTTGTAATTTATGCCAATTGATGTTATACTATATGTTGTTATAAGTATTGTACTACTTGGAATGACAACATTCGTATTCATTCCAACTGACACAGTGTGAGTACTGGCTATAGCAGTTGTGAGGTTGGAATGCATGGAGAACACAATTGGTTCTGTTTTATAAATGCAATACTAGAATGAAAACAATGCGCATGGGTTATCCGAAACCGTTCCTCTGATTAGACATCTTCATGATGATCTTCTTCCTTTAGAGCCTATAGAGTATCTCATTCATATCTGTTTATCAAAAGGAAAGGAAGGTTCCTCTACTCAAAATATTTTATGAATCCTAACCATTTGAGCTTCTTAAACCATTACACGTCTATAATGATATATTAGATGAAACAGAGAACATGTGTAGAACACTAAAAAAATGAAATAAAGATGGGTAATAACAGTATATTATCGTTTCATTCATTGACAGATCAATAGTGCATGAGCTGTCAAATGTAAAGAGAAGATGAGAATGATTACATACATTTTGTATGTGTAAATTAGCTATAATTTAAATAAAAATATTCATCTGAACATGCTAATGGGTATGGATCATCACTGAATGAACAGTTACAACATAGAAATATTCATATTCATCAACAGTTCTTCTGGTTCATACTATTCATTTTACAAATAGTTAGACGTTTCATATATATATCATAATTGACTTAAGAAATTAAATTTAAATATATTTATATGTATATTACCCGACTATCCCTTCCTATCCTTCTCATAACCACCACTGCTCTTCCCCCCCACCCTTCTCATCCTACGGCTTCAACTGAATTATATGCAAATTCATTTTCATCAATTTATTCAAACTAATTGCTCAATTCTTCTTCATTCTCTCCATTTACACTTGATCTCATTTCATCGTTTCGAAGGAACAAACGAATATGATACCGATTGCATTGTCTATACTTCATTCAGTTCATATCTCATATAAAAGCTTCCTCTACTTACTGTATGATAATTCTTTATCATAATCATATATAGCTTATTAACTAAATAAAAATATATAACATGCATAATGAAGTTTTGAAATCTGATTAATCATCAATCAACTCATTATGAAATCCAGCAATTATGCATTTCACACAACCATTTTCGTGTTATCATAATTGAATTTAAAGTTTTTATATTTATTATTTATTATTTATTATTTATTATTTATTATTTATTATTTATATATTAAAAATATAAAGTTTTGTTGTTTTGTGATCATTAATGACGTTTATTATCATTACATTTATCATAATTGAACATCATTATAACAACCAAATATTCATTATTCGCTTTTATGATTACTTTGTTAAATAATAATATTGACAGATATTATTCTCTTTCATTTCTTTTCTTTTCTTTTGTTTCTTTTTCAAAAGCATGAAGCCATTCTCTCTTAGTGTTATACAGCCGATTGGAAAGTCAAAGTTGGTTGAGTAAATCTATACTATCTAACTATGCAATTGTATATAACTATATCACTGAACGATGAACATACTTTGATTCTTTAATATCATGAAAATAAGATATCATTAGATATATCCTCTTTCTGTATAGTATACCCGATAACTATCACTCTCTCTACCTTACCATGTTTCATAGTTAGATGATATGAATGCATATGAGACATCAGCTTCTTATTTCTTTTTTTTTTCATTTTCAAACTTATAACGAGTAATTTGAATACTCTCATCTACTGTGTATGTGTGGGGAGAAGTGTGTGACCAATATAAGTATAAGGCAGATAGCTAATTATATGCTACTCTTATATATCTTTCAGTCAGTAATTTGAACGCTTATAGCTCTTTTAACTCATTGTTTCTATAGTCTGATATAGTGACAGTATATGCTTATTTATATATTATATACTATATATATGTAAATCATTTGTATTGCTCATGTTCATTCATTCTATCTTTAATCTGTTATAAGCTTAAATCTGCATGAGTACGTGAAAGAGTTTAACAAGTGCTGAAGCATAAGCTTTCTCTTTATTCATCTATTTCTTATAATAGATTTACTAATCCTATCTAATGTTCTACAATGATTATATTTGAAAATTCAATAAGATTGATATATACTATATGTAATAGACAACTCATTGTCATTACTAGATGCTAGACATTCTATTAGATCTCTTAACTATACATATATATGCATATGTTAATTATTATAAATATATAATTTATATAATTAACTTAACTAACAAAGTTCTAACATTTATATAATTTCTCTTTTATAAATCATATGCTTAAGCTTAGTTCGACATCTCAACTTATATATCTTAACTATGCCTTTCTCTATTCCTTTTTTTTTCCCTCCTCAATAATCTTTATATAATTATACATAATTATTCATAATATTGTTTTTATGATATAATCCTATCATTCAAAGCTTTATTTCTAAATTCTATTTCAATTTAAAATATAATTTCCTTCATTTTTAATTATTCCGGCACTTATTGATTGAAACTTGTATGCCGTTACTTCGTCATATTCGGTCTCCTAGCTACTCTGGAACAGTCGATAATGATAAAAATTCCAATTATTTCTGTTTAACATTCATTCTTCGTTGTTTTCTTCGTATTGAGCGGTTGTTTATTTTCAGCTGCTATGCGTTTTCGTTCTATCTCATGCTCTTCCTACCTGCGTGAAAAAAGTGAAATGGCTAAGATGAATGGAACTCTCACGACATTCAAATCACAAGGAGCTATTCATGAGGTTAATGTTTTCTTTTTTGGTTTTTTCTCATTAATTTTCTTATTTTCTTCCAGAAACCGGATATGGATGAATTTTCGGAAGAGACTGTTCGTCAACGCATTTCACCTCATCCGTTCATAGATGTAGTTATGCCACTTCCACAAATTCCGGCATCTCAATGTATCACCTGTCGGGCTCATAGCACAACATTCCTCTTCCAGCTGAAAAAATGCGTCAATCTCTATCTTCCACTTTTAGACTTCAAGTCAAAGGTAAGCCAATATTAGATCCATTTGAGAATATTCTGTTGGCAGATGCTCCGGATGTTCCATCTTTCTGAAGATGCTAGTTGCGAAGGAGAAATGGGCAGAAAGAGATGGGAACTGGCAGTGTTAGACTTTCTCGAATGCGCAGATGTACGTGGTTACATCTTTATCAAAAACTATCCAACTGTTATAGATTTCGGAAGATATAATGCCGTATATTCCTTTTCTGGGCTTCAACTGTTTAGTCCGTATGATTGATCCTCAGAACGAGGACGAAACGAAGGTACTTTTAAGCATTTTGTTCTTAAACCTAGCTTGTTTCAATTAGATGTGTTTGACACGTGCGTACAGAGCCGACTGTGAGGAACCAATTGGCGGATATGATCTGTATGAAATTATGAAGCACATGGGTATGTACAAAGGACTTACATTTGGTGATTTCAAGCTGGTAAGGCAACATATTATTATTCACTGGTTGCAAATGAGCTATAGGTACGATGTCCAACCACGACAGTTCAGTACTTAGACAAGATGGGTTTGACTAATGATGGATATCGAGTTGTTCGGATTGTGAAGCCGTTCTCAGCCGATCCACGGGATAAGTCTGCAGTTGTAAGTGGGCTGAATGTTACAGTATGATAGTATTGATTACAGGAATTCCATGGTATCCATCATAATTAAGAAGCTTTTTAGCTCTAATTCCTATATGAAGAATGTTAATGATCTCGTCGAAAGCCTTTTTACTTATGCATAATGTTGTTTACTATATGTTGATACTCATGTTAACTATAAGAATATTCTATCAGATTGTAATTTAATAATTTTCTAAAATAGAAATAATAAAATGAATGAGAGACATAACTTTTGTGTTTTACACTTGATTAACAACCACAGTGAGATCTACTGTTCAATGCTTTTCATGAATGTGTTCTGTGTGTATGATTTATAGAAAATTAACAAAGCAATGATTCTTGTTTGCAATTATGAACTGCTGGCAGACGTGGCGTATCCGTGTGCTGCTTATGAACATTTAAGGTGTTCAAATAATATGTGTCAAACACATATCTCCATTGATAGATATTGGAACTTCAATTGGCTTGTAAAATGACAGCCAAAGGTAAGGCTTACTTTTAATCAAATATAAACAGCAATGAATGTTCAGGTGATACAGCTATTGCTCTCATAGGTCTTCTATTCTTATGCATATATCTAGGAACATTCTTATTTGAATCTGAAGCCCCATTATACTTTTATGTTACGAATTTGACTTCTATCAAGTCGAGACTTTGGTCAGATGAAAATTTTACTGAATCTGATACTTCAAACGAGCCGATAGATTATTCGGGAAATAATGAATTAGATTCTGGTTCTACTTCGACAGCTGTAGCTAAACGTGTGAGTTTATATATGGCATAGTTCATGTTTATCTGTTTGCTCAACCAGTTACCTATATTTCTTGCTTGGACCAAGTTTCATTCTCGACATATGATTCATGTACTAAGAATGATGGTTAATTGCGAGTATCAATGCTTTGTAACGGCTAACAAAAGGTTTTTTTCATAATTTTTATTCAAGTTTCATTTTAATTTCTATGTTCTTGTCTGTCTCATTCAGTTATCTCAGTTTTCCATCATGTGAAGTCTAGCGATTATCTCACTCTATGATTTCCGTGATCTCTAGCTATTGACTTATGGTTCAGTAAACCTTCATTTTGCACCCTCATTATCAACATCCTTTGGTCATTAGTACACAGGCTTATTTCAGCATGCTGTCATTAGCACCTAATTACAACCTTTCCTTGTTTACATTATATTCCTTCTCTCTATATTTTAAACGTGACCTCTCAAGCCTCTCATTCCTTTTTAAACATCTGGCGTTTATATACTAAATCTCTTCATTTTCAATAATCTTATAGTCAGTATACTTTTACCAAACAAAAGGATGAAGGGAAATGTCGTTAAATGCTGCATTTCCTTATTGAATATGTTTTCAGTTATCTACCTATAGCTGATTTTGTTGTTCATCATGGTGCCGATTTGAATAGTAGACAATTAGTTAAGAATTACTATCCAAATCAGAAGAAAGTTTTCTTCATGAGAGAATCTCCAGGACGAAATAATGAAAGATTCTATAGTGGATGGAAAAGAGTTATTACAACAGACTAAACGCTACTTATACTATCTATTCTTCAGATTCCAATGTCATACTTCAACATAACCATGACTTACTTGACACGTTCCGATTATTGGGAAAGATATGATTTTTTCTTTGAAAAAACGAAAAACCCTACTGAGCTTATATATACGGAAGATGATGTCACTGAGGCTATTCGGCGAAAAGTGAATGGCAGTCTATTCATACTTTCTCATTGTGGGGCTGAATCTGGTAGAGATGGTGTTGTTCGAAAATTGGAAAGGCTTACTCCTGTAACAAGGTAATTGTCTAATAATCAGATGAATAATTGCTTTTTCTTCTAGATTAGGGAAATGTGCAAGAATTTCTTGTAATAAAGATTGTGCGAAGGAAATGATCAGTTGAGTGATTTTTTGTTGCTCTTACTTTTGAGTTTTTTAATCCAGAAACTCATTACTTCTACTTGGCATTTGAAAATAGTATTTGTGAAGAGTATATAACAGAGAAATTTTTCAAAATGAAACAGCTCATAGGTTAGTTAGACACATGTGATGAATAAGTCTATTATGCCCTTTCAGTGCCTATAACCTTTGAAAGGAAACTACTTCAACATCTTGCTCCACCCGATTCCTTCATTGCTGTAGATGACTACTGCTCGTTAGAGGAAATGGCGAAACATTTGAAATACTTGATGGACAATCCACAAGAATACAGAAAGTTGTTTTTGAAACTTATGAAATCGCTAATATTCACAAGTTGCAGATATTTCAATTGGACAAAGAAGTATTCAAGAGTTAGAACAAAGGGATCACTGTGTAGTCTGTGTCGTGATGCTCATTTAGGACAAGTTAAAACTACTAACTATGCGGAAGGTTATTCAACTATCAGCAGTTTCATGCCAAGATCAAAATGTCATAATGGATTAGCTAAACGATTATCACAAGATCGTTGTATTAAAATAAAAAAATAAATTTATAGTTCATATCCAATCATTAACTATAATATCGATTGATTGATTGATTATCTATGAAAGATGTGATCTGTATTGTTTGCTCTGTATACACATAGATAGCATATTTTTAGAAAAAAAGTTTATTATATTCTCATTTTCTTTTTTTATAATACTAGCTGCTATGAATGATTCGATATAGTCATTTGACATTTGATGAAAAATGATTTTTAGTTTCTCTTCAAGTTCTAAGTGTTAAGCAGTCATCGTTCAAATTGACATCAAACTATACTAAAATAAATTTCTTTTTTTTGTATCTTATAGGTCGTTTTGAATGGACGATTTCAGAAATCGATCGATCACTACAGGGTTTTCTTATTTCAAAAAGAAAAAAAAAAGAAAAAAAGCAAACTATATCTAAATATGGACAAATACTTTTCGTTTTTTTTCTCAAATACATTTTTTTCTTTTCTCTTTTTTTTTGTTACTGAATTCGTTTTTTTTTGTTTTTTTTTGTTTGCGCGCGCATACTAATCGCTTATTCGTTCCAATACATTAATAATAAGGATATAAATGAGTGTAGACATTAGCTCTGGTTACTGACGATGATCGTACATTAGCATATGAGTTTGAACGGAATAGCTCCATTTGACGAACAGCTTGGTTCAGCTTTGATGAAATTTCATTGTACTCATGCCGCATCTGGTAAAGTTTATAATTGTATAATCAGCCTATTGAAGCTGCTTAGACATACTCGATCTCTATTGATTTTTTCACGCGACAATGATCTTTCTAATTGGCCGATACGACTCTGTAATTGTTAAATGGGTTTATTGGAAATTGTTTATACAATAGGTTATAAAACGTAATCGCTCTTTCTAATTTTAGTCTAGCCTAATACCACGGCAAATAGTGTACCTCATACAAGCTTGAAGACATATTGGCAGAATTGTTGTAAGAACTCTGAATGTTATTATTAGTTATTATAGGGGGATACATGCGTCTTACGTTATATCTGCGTGGAGTATATCTTTCAACACTATCCTATAATGAGTAGTTTAACAAGCGTTAGAAGCGGTAACAGAAACTAACCGATGCACGATAAGTAGAGTGAAGATCGCGAACATAGCTATCAACACGGGACAAACGTCCTGATCCGAGATACAGATCAGCTCGGCTTCTATAGATTCATACTTTTGTTTTCAATTCTTCTTTGCTAACACTAACCCGCTGCGAGACAATGAATCGTATACGGAGCTTCTAGAATTTGAGCGAGAAAGCTCGTAGTTTTTGCTACCGCTGTACTCCATGAAACTAACGAATGAGCCAGATCTTGAGGGTGGACGGCTCACAGCTCTTGATGGTGGTGTAGAGTACTCACGAGTGCGAGTAGGAGCAGGGAATTGAGAAGAATATCTACATGATCGGTTAATATTCGTTTGAATTTTTTTAAAGATTTACCTGTAATAGTTGCTTGCAGATCTTTGGGATCTCATTGCCTGCTTGCGTTCTCTAGCGCGACTACGAGAGCGTTCAATGAGTCTGGTTGTTGAATAGAGAGCATTTGAGAAAGCACCTAGATGTTATAGTTGTATTCGATAGCTTATAATTGTCTTACCGGTACTAACAATATCATCAAACATGGATGTATACATTCTGGTTGGTGCATAGCTGTTTGAAGTGTAAGAAGAAGAGTATTTGTTTGGGTTTGAAACAAATGGGCTGATTGGAGTATAGCTATTACGATCGACTGGAGTCCAAGAGTTGAAAGAGCTAGAGGACGGCATTCTTGGTGGTGGTAATTGATTGAATGAGTCCTAAGAATATCATACTTCTATTTGATTTATTATACCATTTGATACTACCTTATCGTAGCTGGTGTGATCGATTGGAGCATGAGCGCTCGCTGCAACGCTTGTTTCACTTCTACGAACTGGTGGAGGTGGACTGCGCTCAGCTCTAGAAACTGGTTCAGGTTCCTAAAAAGAAAAATTAATTTTTTATCATTTTCAGATAACAACTTTTGTCTCCTGTCTAACTTCAACTTTCTCTTCTTGAACTTCGGGCTCTTGTGGGGCCTCCTCTGGTTGGGACTCTTCGGGTTCTGGTTCAGGTTCAGCTACAGGTTCCTCCTGAGGGCTTTCTACTTCAACTGGCTCTGGTTCAGGTGTGGGTTCCTTCTCTGGTTCTTCCACTTGAGGAGTGGGTGGGCTGAAAAGCAAATATTTCTCTCGTCCTGGACAAATTTACTAACGCTGGTGTTTGAGCTGTGGTTTCTTCAACTTGGGTTTCAGGAACACTGTCAAAGTTGAAAGCACTCTTTGATTTTGCGGAAGCCGCAGTTGTTGGAGTTCCTGGGATACTACCGTTGGCAACACTTCCATTGGCTACACGTCTAGCCGATTTTGGTGTGCCAGGAGCCTGAAAGATGGAATTGACAGATGTTTGTATTGGATACTCTCTCACATCATCGCGTGCGGTTCTTGGGGTAGGTGGGATGGAAGGGACTGCTGATTTTGGTGTAGGTGGAACACTTTCTTTTGGTGTGGGAGGTACAGATCCAGCGGGAGTACCATATTCCTAATATTCACATCGAATATTAAAATGATAATACTCAAATTCCTCACCTCATCCTTGGGAGTCGGTGGAACAGATCCAACTGCTGATCGTGGAGTTGGTGGAACTGATCCGACAGCAGACTCAACACCTGGAGTTGGAGGAACAGATCCAACAGCGGATTCCACTCCTGGAGTTGGAGGAACTGATCCAACAGCTGATCTGGGAGTTGGTGGAACTGATCCAACAGCAGATTTTGGAGTAGGAGGAACGGATCCAACAGCCGATCTAGGTGTTGGTGGAACGGATCCAACAGCGGATTCCACTCCTGGAGTTGGGGGAACGGATCCAACAGCCGATCTTGGAGTTGGTGGAACTGATCCGACAGCAGATTCAACTCCTGGAGTTGGAGGTACTGATCCAACAGCCGATGCAACTCCTGGAGTAGCTGGAACCTGAAAGAGGTCACGTTGAGTGTTTCTAACTGTTTACATTGTGTCGTTTGATGTCTTTCGAAGCTGATTCGACAAAAGCTAATAAAATGATTCATGCCTGTTGTTGTTCTTCGGCGTCAGCAAACTAAAATAACATTTGAACAATTGTTTTGCAAATTTTTTGAATTACCTCTTCATCAGGAACTACGGAACCAACGGCAGACTTTGGAGTAGCAGGTGTCTGAAGTGGACAAATTTTATTTATATTGAGACTTTTTTACCTCTCCAATTGGTGTGGGGGGGACTGACGTCAAAGCAGCCGATTTTGGTGTTGGAGGGACTGATCCAGGTGCGGCCTAAATTCTATTGGTAGATTAGATTCCTGGTAAAAACGTTACTTCACTGATTGGAGTAGGAGGCTCAGAAATCTTTGGAGTTTGAACATCCTTAAAATCAATTACGTTCAATTTTGAGATCAAAAACATACATCTACACCAAGTCCAGATCCAACAGCAGAACGTGGTGTTTGAGGAATAGCTGCAGGTGTGTTGATAGCCTAAGAAACTATCAATTGAAACATTTTCTAATTGAACTCACGTCAGGCAGAGCAGAACCAGGAGTTCCTGGCATGTCAGCGGATGGAGTGGCAGGAACACTATCGGCTAAATCACAACAAAAGTATGGAGTTGATTATTTTCGATGTTACTTGTTGATTCAGGGGCGGGATTATCTAATTCGTTCAAAGAACGAGGTCGCTTTCCTTCAGGAGGTGCTTGAAGCTCAAATACCTTTGGTTCATCCTCATCCTCCTATTCACTATTTCTTATAAGAATCAAAAACATACTTACCTGAACAACAGCTACATCTTCATTCACTGGTTCTTCTTGCTGTTCTGCCTGAAAAATATTAATTGTTTTGTTTGTCTTCATGTTTGTTGGGTGAGTGTTATTTACCTCCGAGTGCTCAACAATTTCGATCGAGATGCAAGATTCTTCAACAACTGGTTGCGCACCTTCATCTGCCACCACATTTTCATCCTCAGCAGCAGGCACGCTTTCATCGACATTGTCTGCTTCAGGCTGTAACATTACATGTGTGAAACAAAAAATGACCATTTTTTCAATTACTTTTTCTTCTTCTCCACCTTCAACGTTGGGTTCATCAGCTTCGGGATTCTTTAAAAATTGCCTTTTTTGATAATTTTTTTTGTTTTTACCTCTTCTTTCAAAATATTTTCAGAAGTCTCTTCAGGAATCTCCTCAGTGGTGATAATCTTGAATTTCCAAACATGTATTGTTGGAAGATTTGGTTTACCTGAGTTTCTTCATTGCTTGGAAGTTCTTCAATTCCATCCATGCTTGTTGTCATAGGATCAATATACTCAGTACCAGTTATATCAGGAACCTATATGATATTAACATAAAAAGAAGTATAATATAATAAAAATAAAAAAAACACTCATCACGTTCGTGAAAAGGCTCAAATGAAAGTGGCACGCTTTACTGCACAAGCAGTTTTTTCCTGACTAACAGCCTGTTGGATAACGGCAACTGGCAGGTGGTAGTCTGCCAAATGCTATCTCTTTAATTTTTTCATCTATCTCTATCTCTCACTTCATCAATATATATATATATCTACATACATACATACATATATATATATTTATATATTGATCTGCAATACTCATTCTCACTCAATAACTATATCAATCTTCGATGCAGATTGTTTTTTGTGTTTTAAAGAATGAATTGGTTATCTTTCTCTTTCTTACATTAGTCTTATGAATGCGGGGGGTTGTTACATATGTCATTGATAGTACATGAACACATGTTAAGCAAAGAAATGTTGACCAACTCTTGTTTTACAACAATCTGTTTTCTCTCATACATATCTCCTTATACTCATTTTCAAGAAAATTTTAATTTCGTCTTCGGTAAACTATTGAAAGTGAAAAGATATCATAAAAGACATTGAAGTTGAGACAGTTGAAGTGCTCAGGCAGCTCAATGAGATGAACAAAAAAATGAAAAAAAAAACAAAACAAACAGAGTATTGAGTTACAAGTTTGTGCAGTATATGAGTTTTGATTTGCTTTTCAGTTCAACAAAGTCATTGAAAGATATGTTTTCGTTTTGATTTTCGAAATATTCTTCTCACCTGATCCTCAGTGCGGTCTTCCTCGGCAGGAGAATTTTTGACAATAGCTTCTACCTCTACATCTTCTGGCAACACTGAAACACATGGAAACAATGAAATTTGAGTTAAAAGTAAAACGAACCATCTCCGTTTTCATTTTCGTTGACAAAGTCCTCTTGAGTATCATGGAACTCTTCGTCAACTTGATTGCTCTCGGACATGGCTGAATTCAAAGAATGTTGTTTATGATATCATCATGCAACACAATATTATGTTATGAAGGACAGAGTATAATGAACTAGAATGATCTTAACAGTGAAAGGCTGGCTGTCGCTTAACAGCATTTTGTGAGGATGAATGAAGATTAGACTGCCTGAGGAGGCATGTCTATGTCAGTTGAAACGTAGGCGGATGAGAGACTTTTGTTCATCAAGAAAGTGCACGATTGATGATCAACCACATCCATTGTTGTTCTTATAAACAGTTGTTACGTTTTTATAACTCTAAGTATTACAGAGTAAGAAGGAGCAATTAGTATTCTCACATTTGAAAGTTCAAAGTAACTTGAGCAAATCTATTTTTAAAATATAACTTGAAACAAGAAGAAGAAACTCAGAATGAAACCCAACAAGTCAAGAGGGATAGACAACAATCGATGAGTTTTTGTTAAGCTTGTTACAATCGTATGGTTATTGACAGATTCATAATGAAAATGAAGAATAGAGCATAAGAAATAATTTTGGTGTGACCACTTCACACGAACTGCTCTAACGTATTATTTTGCTAACACGTTGTAAAATACAACACACACTGCCCATTCTATGGTGGGTGGCAATAAATTAAGATGAAAGTTGGATATGTCGCTCGATGAACATATGATCACTGATACTTCAAACATTCTTACGTTCCCCACTTGTTAGCTTAGGTTGACAAATTATTCTCGCTTGATGTTCATCGAACAGCAAGAGAACATCTGATTATAGAACTTGACATACAATCATCTAACTCATCAAAAAAATGAAATAAATATGGAAAATTTGAATGAAATCAATAAATGCTCAAAGAAATATAATAAAAGCAAATCTCATCTCCCTATGTTCATTCATCAAATGATGTATATTTATATCTTTTAACTTTTTTAGTTCTGTGGCAGATGGTTTTAATTTTCAATTGAGCTTCAGTTTCATTTTGTTCTTTGATATTTTTTGACAATGCTGTAAACTCATAAGAGTTTGCCATTCACGATAGAGAGTTACATGTGAAGTAGCTGAGAGAAAGCGAAGATGAGTTTAAAATAAGAAATTATCTTTTTCACAGCATTCAATTGAGAGCATCAGCCGACAGACAAAAGCCTAGCTAGACAAGAGTGTTGAAATATGAAGGATGGCATAGAGACAAAAATGAAATGGCATGGCAAAGCTGTTCGACAGTTGCTATAAATTCCCCTCCTCCTATCCATTGTGAAAAGTGAGGCTAAAAAAAAAGAAGAATGAAACCAAATGAGTGGGACCAACTGATTAAAGGTGAACCGGAAAACAAAAAAATGAGAAAAGTAGAGTGTTTGAGTAATTTTGCTTGTTTTGGGTTATTTGATGATGTCATTCGATTCCATATTATTCATATTTTTTCTTTATTCTTCTATTTGGCGAACAATCTACACACAATATTCGAGTCGCGCTTATTCCTATGTTGATAATTCGTATATGAAATCATTTATGTTGACTGTAGTCTTACACTTCGTAAGTTCGCGCAGCATATCTCATCTATCCACTCAAAAGTCCGAAACAGTGAACAGATATTCTGTGAGGATAATTCATATTTTCATTTGTATTTTTCAAAAAATGAAATTGAGGTCGTTTTGCTTGATAGCATTTCCCGTTTTCATTTGTAATAGTTGAAGTTAGCTGGCATATATCACTTTGCCCAGGTTTTCAATGAGATTTGCCGGCTGTTCATTGCGGGGGCTAGACAAGTTTTGTTAAACTGCAGACTCACGGTATATCTTGTTCATCATTACTTTCTTTTTTCATTCTGTTATTTTACACAATAACTTATTTTCAATTTAACATATGTGTGTTTGTATAGCATGATCATAATTATCAATTCCGAATAGATGATTTCACATACTATCAGATCTGATATCCAATTGAAATATGAAACATCTGGAACAAGATTGAGTTGATGACACCTCTATAACACATATGCCTTTGAGAATCATATGCATTTCCTTCAATTGCTTTCATTACCTTTTTGTTGCAGTTTAAACTATTTTATGAGACGAGAATTCTAGAATACTTCAACTGTGTACTAAACAAAGATACGTTGTAAATTGCGTTCCACAGCTGTCAGCAGTGTTTCGACGCTCACAACTTGCCGCTTTTCACTTACTTTTCTCGCCTTTGTTTTCTGGAAATACTTCCTATATACACTTTTTTTACGATTATATCTTTGAGTGAATTGGCCTCGAGAACCGATACGGGGTTTCTGTGTTTATCTCTCGTTGTAAAAATGAGTTGTCTTCAACTGCATTAAAATGAGTTGAATCAGTTTCGTAAATTGTCAGATAGTTTTAGGATAAACCATGATGTGGGTAATTCTTTCCTGGGTAATGGTCGCATCTATCTGCTACTACATTCTGAAGCGTGTGGACATTTCTTCTGATGAGAGCATCAACGCTCAAAATAAATATTTGTCGTCAAATTCTGTTTGCTCAACAAACAGTCGGTAAACGAAACACTTTGAAAATAAATCAAATTTAATTTTTATTCAGTCAAAACTATGAATGGGTCAATGACCTTATCAGCTGGATATATTCAAATGTCACCGGAGTACCTGAACCCTTGAAAGAATGGATTAAATCTTTGAACGAAGCTGCAAAGAAAGTTAGCTCAGTATGTTTACTTCTGAAATTGATCATCAAGTAGCTTCTTCATTTTTAGAACAAATGCGGAATTATATTTGAAAGATTTGGAGAGCATTTAGCAGATGCTCAACCTCCGAAGATTGATAATGTCCGTGTTGAGAAAGGACCGCGCGACCATCTAGTTGGCTTCAGTTTAAGTATTATTTGAACAAACTTTTTTTAGACTATAAGATCAAGTATTCATATCCCTACTCTTTCCTTGCACATAGTTTCTTCTCAACGAACGACAGATCGTCTCATTGTCAGCAACATGCAAGCTGTTATCACAGACTTGAGAGGAGAGGTTGCGCTAGAAGAACGTACAAAATATAAAATTCTTATTCAGGTTGAATGTAGAGTTGCCATGATTGCTAATCAAACATATGTCATGAGTTGCTTTAGTGGTAGGCCAGAAATGGATGTAGAGCTGATCAATAGTGATCCATATGCCGTAAGCACTTTGATACTATTTACAGATCAACAATCCGCTTTTTTGTAGCAAACTACTGTTCCAACACCGTTAGTTGAAGAATGTATCCGTAGATGTCTTCTCTCAACTGTTACCAACATCAATGTGTCACAGTTGATTAACACAAGCACCCCAGAAACCAACAAAGCGGATGAATTTACAAGAACAATTGATACATTCAGACAAACTATCAAACCTGTAGTCAGTTAATCATGATCTATTCATTTTTATTTCTATTTTATAAGGATCAATCAAGAACAAATGGACATTTACGTAAATCTCCAGAAATATTTGACAAAATAAATTCCATATCAAACAACGCCGTCGCAGTTCCTAATCAACAGATGAACAAGCTGATTGTTGATTTGCAAGAAGTCAGAGGATTAGATAGTAAAGTTTTATTTCAATAAGCAAACTATAACTTCCATCATCAGATCATGGAACGCGTAACGTACACGTGTTTGTTGAAATGGATGAACCACCTCAACGCTTCAGCTCAAGAATGCCTCGTAACGGGTTGAACTGCTTGGCTACGAACGATCACAAATTGTAAATAACAACGTCTTACTTTCCAATTTATTTTTTTTAAGCACTGTTTCACCAGCATCAGAAGAAATTCTGTTTGAAATTTACGAAGATGGCGAGAACGATCAGGACGAAAGAAATTTCCTCGGATTGAGTATTGTTAACTTGAGAGAATTGAATAAGAACGAGAAAGTAGGAATACTTTCAGAAACAATATCAGAAGATATATCTTTCAGAAAGTTTTGGATCTGAAGCTTCAAGGACGCCCGTATTCGAATGATAATGTTAGCGGACATCTGAAAACAGCGGTGAGCTTTTCTTGCTAATACTCATAGAGTATTGACATTTGCAGTTCAATTTCTATCATGATGCTAATACAGTGCAATCAGGAACGATTGTTGATACAGTCAAAATACGAGACTCTAAAGGCTGTGAATTTCGCGAAACATGTACTACCAAGAGGAGAACATTGGAGGGAGGGCAGTGTTAGTTTCCCGAATTCATTGGCAAATGGTCAAATTGTGTTTAGACATGTCTGATGATATTTCTTTGACACCTTCATCGACAACTCAGATAACTGTTAAAACTGTATCACAACAGCTTAAGGAGAAGCCAGTTATTCATTCAGTTACCGGTTCTATGGAAAATGCGATTGATCCCGAAACTCAGCTGTTGTTAAACAAACGATTCGATACTGACAATAGTGAAGCAGTTAAACAGTTAACTGTAAGTTTTTCGCAATAGTTCTAGTTATAACCCAGTTTAGAATGAATTAAAACATGTGCAACATATGCAGACAAACAATACAATTGAAAAGGTACCATCAGAGCGTAAAGGAAGAAGCGAAGGTTTGTGATTTTCACATTTCAACTTCTATTCGAGTGAATATTCATGAATAAGAAACTTCACTCAATAGTATCTTGCACAAGTATAGGAACTTGATTTTTTAAGAGAAAAGAAAGAAAGAAGGTTCACGCGACCGATCTTTTTTTGGTGAAATGAGAGAACGATTGAGCGGACGTTTCCGGAAATCGAAAAGGTTCGAACCCAATACAACACATCTAATTGTATTTTTAAGATCCAAGAGTGCAGATATTGCTGCTGCTGATGTGGAAGAGGCTGTATCGCTCCCTCCCAGTCGAGACCCTAGTCGTTGTCGCTATACAGGTTGAGCATTAAAAAATTAAGAAAAAAATAAGCTTATGCTCATAGGTTACGACACCAAGTACATGGAATCTCAATCTGTTAGTGGTAAATCAAGAGGGTCAAACAGAAGTCTATATCAACATTCATCTCTTGTTCTTGAACTAGAACAAGAAGGGAAACTCAAGTTCGTTTTTGTCCATGACGCATACTTACAAAGTGTATATTAAGCTATCTACTTATACCCCCAGCAGTTTTGTCTGAGCCGGCAGCAGCCAACTTGATGAAAAAAGGGAAAAAGCTGCATATTTATAATGATCATACATTCGTAGCCGTGAAAATTCATGGGTAATAAATATCCTTACAGTTCCTTAACTGAAATCATGACGTTTCAGAGGTGTGAGCTGTAATGTATGCGACAAGAGAATGAGAGCTAGTTTCTCAAAACAAGGATATCAGTGTAGAGGTAAGTAAATGTGATAGGCAAACAGTTTGTAAAACGTGGATTGACATTGCAGACTGCAAAATGATTTGCCACAAGTCGTGTCATTATAAGATCGATGGTTTCTGCTCTCAGAGTTCATTATCGAAACTGCAAATGTGAGTTGCGGGTCATGATGCATAAATTTAATTCATTTTAGCGCTCGCGACATTGATTGGGCTCATTTTCTTAGTCATTATCCCTTAGAAGAATTTATTTCATTCGATGGAATCTAAAACATCAAACGCATAAATGCCAACTTCGCCTATGCAATGTTCTTGTCTGAAAAACATTAGAATCATTTTCTCATGAGCAATGTACAATATTCTATTATATATATATTGTCATTATATTTAATAATAAAGATCGTTCTTGTTCAAACATCATTCATCTCGGGCAATTGAAGCTATTACAGCACAAAAGATATAGAACATATTTCTCACAAATTATAGTTTGTAGTCTGGAGGTCTCGGATGCTTGTAACATTTCCTCTTTTTCCTCTCACACACATTACTCTCACTTAGGGTGATAACACTTGATATGACCTTTCGCCTTTGAGGGTTTGAAAAAGTACGGGAAATTCACACAAGGCAAAATAGAACAAACATTTATATAATATCTCGTATTTTTTTTTATTACTAATATTTTCATCAGTTCATAACTAATATTGTTTTCTACTTATAAGCTTCATTCAATTCGTGGAAGTTAACAACAAACCGTGAGTTCCAGCTGTTCATTTGTGAATTTGAGTTTTTTTTCAGAGATATTGTTAAATGTAATGATTGCGAGTATAAAATGTTTAAATTTACTGATGTAAGTTTTTTTTTTTCTAATTCTTGTTTCTGTTTTTTTTAGATTACTACGGGAGTAATGGCAACCACTAAATTTGTTAAAAAAACACTATGCGAATACGACCTTTTTAGTACTTACCCAAACGGTATGACCTGCACGAGAGTTTTTCGTTTAGTTTCAGCAGCCCGAACACAGTAGACGGAAACTTTTTCAGCTGCAAAACATGTGAGTCTGTTGTTACAGCAAGTTTGCTGGTAAGTTCGACGAATGAAGAACAAAGAATTGATAATTTTCAGATGATGAGAGGACCGA